ATGAGTAATATCGGACACACGGTTTGTTTAGAATAATCCAAACAGCCAACATGCGAAGCAGTGTGCAGACATGAACAATACCAGACAAGGAGTGGAGGTGAAGGAACGCAAACGAGGATAATTAATCACATACAGCTGACACATGAACTAATGATAACAATAATCAAGGAGAACTGAACACAGAAGTCCATGGAATTGAAACTAAAACTGAACATTATGGTGATAATGCAACACATTTATGTGAATAAAAGGTGAAAATGTCAATTTTCATCACTTTTGGCCACTATATATCTAAGTAGACGTAGTAATATCCCTTAAACGCTTACCTCGGGACGTCATTCACTATCCCACCTCGTTCATTTTCTGAAGTTAGACATTAACCTTCCTCAAGTATTCCTCAATTCATTATAAACAAAATACCAAGATTTTTTTTTTTTAATTATATAATTATAAATATATTTCCCTTCATTTTTTTTTGCCAAAATTGGATAGGGTCGCTAATAACCCGAGTAACAGTGTAAGTACATTTTCTTCTGATTGAATCTTTGATGACTGAACAAGTGCAATTCACCTTTATGTCTTATACACAATGGAGGCCGAAACATGCAAAACATGAAATGGCTGTAGAGCAAGTACTACTGAATACAATCAAATATTAATGTCAATGTCACTTGATGGTGGATTTGGCGAAGGTAACAAATTATTCTTTATTTTTTATTCTTCTGTAATTGTTACTCTAATATCAGGGGTACTATTCACAAAGAATTTTATCTTTTTACTAGGAGTACTAAAATCGCACTAAAATATTTTAGCTATAGGATGTTTCTCTTAAAAGTTATTAGACCTACTCTTAGTAAGGAAAAATGACAACATCTAAACTAAGAGTGAGTCTTCGTTGCTATGGATGACGTCAACTCTCATGCACGAGCTTCCTCGAAATGATCACGGTGATTGGTTTGTTAGATGGCAGGGTCATCGTCAGCAACAAATCATGGAATTACGACATCTAAATATGTCAGCGTCCTACACAAAATAATAATAGTAATTTCATCGAAATGCATATAATGACATGTTTGTGCAGGTCCCAGTGAAGTGTAATAATTCTATTAAAAGAGAGAAAAGTCATGAATCAAATTAAATCAAGGTAGCCTAATACCCCAATGAAAACCGTCACTTGCCTACACTCTAACAAATGCTGGGTTGTTTTAACCCAACTTTGGGTCAAATATGGACTAACCCAGCCGTTGGGTTAAATTTTTACATTACATTTTTAACCCAACATTTCGGGTTTGTCCATATTTGACCCAAAGTTGGGTTAAAACAACCCAGCATTTTTTAGAGTGTGAAAAAATTGTATATATATATATATATATATATATATATATATATATATATTCAATTGCACTTGCATTAACACTTGCTTGGTTAATTGACATCCTATTCGCCTAAATAGACTACTTAAAGCAAGGAAATAGTAATGTAATAGTTGAATGATGGTGGATTATGAACTCACCAAAACGGAAAAGTAAGCCCAAGTGGACGCAGGATCGGTTACTGCTACTGGCCCAGTTGGTGCTAGAAAAAAAAAAAAAGAAAAAAAACATAATAAAAGTGAAATTCGGCACTAAGATATCAAGCAAAACTAAGCATGAGAATGGGACAGGATTTGTTTGCAGATGAATGCAGCATTCCCGCTTGTTTCGCGGACCCAGGACGACTGTGAGAGGCGCTGGTGTGCTCTAAAATCCTTTGTGAATAGGTCTTTAGTGAGTTAGGAGTCTTCTCGACTTCTTTTAAGCTGTCCCAGACTTAGGTGCTACTTTTAGGACTAAAATGCTTCATGAATTGCTCTTAGTAAAAAATGAAGAGTCCTAAAGTTAGGAGTGACACACCCATTAAAATTCGCTAGTTAGGAGCTATTTTTAGCCTTAAAATTCTTTGTGAAAACAGCCCCTGGAGAGTTAATATCAGCGGGTCCATCCGTTTTAGGTATAGATCCGGGTCACTTAAGACCCGAATATGTAATAATGATTGGCAAAACATTCATCCATTTAAGGGTTAAATAGTGAAAAAGGGAGAAAAACAGGCTTTCTTCTTTTCTTTCTGTAATTTGCACATTCTTCACAACTTACGAGTGATATGGTCCTGCAATATCATTAAAACCTTCACTTGGACAACCTTTCCAAGCAAATGCAGATGAAGCTGCCAACTCCACCAATTAATCTTGTTTAAAACTTGTTCAAGTATGCTCGAAGTTCATGTGCTTCACAGCCGCCGGCCCAAAAGTCCATTGCTCCAGCTGACTTTAAAAATGCTGCCAGTTCCAAGAAAAATTAATTACAAGATTTATGCCAGTTTTTTTTTCTCCATGAGATCCTGTAGCTTGATAACAGATGACTCAATGGGTTACAGTTCCCTGATATCTCATCCCAAAGTAAATGGCAAGCAAGGTTAATTACTTTAGACCAAACAGCACTACACTGTAAACTGATTCTGTATCTGTGGTTTTCACTGCAGATATAATCTCAGCGGATGGGGATTTTCTGCATTGCCGGAAACGTTCTTATTCAAATCCAGTCAATATGTTAATAAGTATGATGACGGACAATAGTAATACATCCATATGAAATAGACAGGAATACTAGCAGTACTCCAACAATGCAGTTGCCAGGTCTTGTCAAAAAGTGTTTTCTGCAGTTTCAAGCACACACGCACACACAACTTTAACAATGAAGTCTCTTCAAAATCATCTGCCTGTTTATCAAATTAAATATGAATTTCCCATGACACTTCTTTCCACAAATTCATTAAAACATCAAAAGTCTCTAATAAATTTAATTACTAATACTATTCAATCATAATTGCATTGCCATTGTGCTGCCGTTGACAGAATTTTCCCTCACTCCTGCTTTAATTGCCTTCTCTGGCCTCCCTAGAGGCTGATCGACGGTATCAAAAATGTTTTGCTTTTGTTGTGGAGGGTGATGGGTTTAATCAAGGCATTAAGTGAAAGAGATTTAGCCACCATCAGTGATTTAGTCTGTGCTCCTAGCGTTTGACTGTTCACTGTGCATCCAATTAAACTATGATTGTATTTTATAGTAATTGGGTGGTTCACACATACTCAATCAACAGACTGGGACTTAAATTGCGCTGCCTAAAGCTTTCATCCACCTTACCTATAATGATAAATGTACTTTTGGCACAATGCAAAAGTATGAATGCATGAAAACTGAATATGAAACACAATTGAAATGCTTTATTGGTTAACTCTAGTAGAAATTCATTTAGGTTTAGATATTCCGTCTATCTTTCAGCTTATCTTCAAGCCAAATACTCATGCAGTGAAGAGAGAGAGAGTAATTTATTTCACTTTATCTCCCTTCCACTATCCCCCCAACCACCCTCTTTTATTCTTGCTTTAAGGGTTGAGGTGCAAGGCGTTGATTAAAAATGCATCTGAAAATCCACTTTCAGGTTAGCGCTGCTGCATTTTTTCACCTGCTGCGGTTTCAGGTTCAGATTTTTCTCAAGATATCCACTTGCATTTGGGGCGAATTGAATTTGGGCTCATCGATGATTCAATTTTCACAGGTTTTTTTTTTTCTGCATGCACTCTGTTTTCCTTTTATCCAACTCAGAGAAAATAGCAGAAAAACTTAGTCATGTGAAACATTAGCCTGTGTAGAGATGCTTCATCCACACATCTCTTGTGCCCCTTTTCTGCAATCCGTAGCCTTTTCTTTTATTGTGATAATCTTTAAGTTACATGACCAAATATGTTAAGCAATCGAACTTATCTTATATTTAAAGAAGCCAACCTTTACCTTACTAACATCCCTGTACGCTCTTGACCTGCTCAATTCTTTGTCCATTGTGTGGTGCTTTTCTAGCAATCCTGCCCTGCGTCTGAATAAACCTTCTTCCATTCTATAAAATAGGCAAAAAACAGTATGTGAGCAGAATAGTACACGTGTTCACTCCATGTCACAATTATAGTAAGTGCGCATCTAAAAGGACAAAATGGGGAAAGTGTTGCATTTATAATTTTGTTATAACAACTTTTTTTTAGCAGTCAAGAAGTAAGTTTCAAACCACGTTTACCTTACTATGCAGTGTACAATTTCACACGCAGTGCAGTTCCCACATATGCTGGACTTAGGCTCCTTTTTCTTCACTGACCAAGTTTTATCCATTAAAAATAGTTCTGTAAAGAAGTTCATAATTGTACAATTTATATTTGTCAGTAAACTAATTCCAAACATTTACCCATACAGTAGGCCTGCGGATTAATAGGTTTTTAAGAACACGAGGAATCCAAAACCAGTAAAGTGTGTCCACACTTTTGACGGGTAATCTAAATTCAGTCAAGTATTTCTGCATGCCGTGAAGCCACCTAGAACAGAGAACTTGTAGTGAAGGTGTGATCATGTGACAATCAGGTGGAACCTGCCATCAGAGGTGTTGTCTTGCTCTCTACTCTCTTACCTGTTACAGCAGATAGCCAAGAGGAGTTGTTTCATTATCACTGTACTTGAAGAGTTCTCAATCGATTTTCTCTCTCTTTTACTTTTTCTATCTTGGCTTATATTACCAGCAGTTCATTTGACACAGGAAACAGAAGGTCAAACAGAATGCATTGTAGAATACAAAACCCAGCGCAATGTGCTGTAGTATAGGTTATTACACAAATACAGAAAATTAGCATACTACAGTATGCACAGATATTCTATATACTGCAGAAAGTAGTATGGCGATACTCTAGAGCTCAACAATATGGGTAGCCATTATGAGAGTTTCTGGACAGTTGACAGAAGCGTCACTTGCCATATTTGTCAGTGACAAATTTTAAAGTTTATAATTTTATGTGCTGGAGCCTGTAGGTGCTGTAGGTTTTTGAAAGCAGAAACAATCCTTACTGTTGAGTGGACTATCCCATACATTGCCATACACGCATTCATTTTTCCATAAATATACCAAAACCAGTTCAATAGGTCATCTGCACTCATAAGCTCTTAGAAAGCTCCATTTATTAAATATAATTATGAAACGTATGTACACCATTCATTTACAATATTCATATAGAAAAAAAAACAAACAGCCATAGAATTAATTCTCAATAGAAAGCAAGTGTTTTGTCATAGTTGTTTTTCTAGTCAGGAGATATAATGCACTTCAATAAGGATGAGATTTCATTCCAGGAGCTCAGTTGTGAGATTGGCTCAATTGTCGTGGGAAAGAGAATTAAACTGCCTGAATCTGCCCGACCCATGGGAATTGGGATACACACAAATGACTCATATTCCATCTCTTTTCCTATAGTCCTTTGGTGGTTAATCCCAGTCTATAGTGGTTCCTTGTACTAGTCAATAGTTTCAACATCAAATGCGAGGTTGTCAGATGCGGATGTCTTTAATCTTTTTTTTTTTTTGGACACGTTCAGCGATGATCGATCCATTAAAAACAATGTCTGGGAAGGTCCATCGCCCTGCCACAAAACCATTCTCTCAGAACCCTCTCCTCTGGGGTTTCAGTCCATTAGCTTAAGCCCAGTCTATATATGCGGGCTCTGAGACAGACAGGTTTGAGCAGGCACACTGGATAAAGACAATTCCGAGTGATGCTTCAGGCCTCCTGCTGTGCTGTTTTCTTGTGTGTGTGCTTGTGCATGTAAAACCTATTATTATGCCTGTAAAATAATAATATACAGCTCTGTCATTATTCTGGAGGCCCACACACACCACTTCAACATAAGCTTTACTCTCTTCATAGAAAATAAGCAAACAAACAAAGAAAAAATGCTTGTTCTCTTGTGTCCCAGCCTAAAAAGTGTCTGTCGAGTCATTGCTGGCTTCTGATTGGATGCTCAGCCTGCAGTGTAGATAATACAGTGTGGTGGGGTTGTTTGCATGTTCATTGGCGACAGGCTACTCAAAGGTCAAGGACGACAATGAGAGGTCAGATGTAGTATTCTTTGCTGTCGTGGTTGGGTTTGTGCAGGCCCAGAGAAGCCCGGTACGGTGGATGCTCCATGCTGGGGCAATGCGTCTTTCCGGTGATTCCGGAGGGCGCTGGAGTCCGTCGATGTCGGTATAGAAAGCGGATGATGATGGCCAACGCACAGAGGGTGATGAACACCACTGCAGCCACTACTCCTGTTTATTAGATGAATGAAGATGTGGAAATTAGTGTTGCATGTGCTTCCTTTTAAATAGACGCATGAAAACATGCTAGATATTAAACAATTGACCTACGGCTAAGCCACGCCCCCTTCACTCACTCGGACAAACTGTCAACATTCGGGAACAGGCGCTATAGCAGCTGTCACAGTAGGAGACATTTCACAGGAGGCAATTGGTGATTTTTGGAGACAGAAAGATTATGTATCATCTCGAAGTCACCTAAAGGGCCTTAACTATGCATTGGAGGGTTATATTAATCATTTTATTGGTGAGAAGGTCGATGAAAAGCTTCAGCTCCAGGCAAAAATGTAAAGGTCACAGTGTAAACGTGATAAACCGCATATCGTTGCCATCACCGTTTGGTGCTACAGTATTTACATGAATCATTCAGCACAACATTGTTAAAATTTGTTATCGTTAGCTAGAAGCTAACGTTAAGGTTTTCTAATGTTTGGCTAACGTTAGCCTTAACGTTACGTTAGATTTTAAAGATAACGTTCAAATACGTTGTTGACTTAACTTAGAACAGATGTAGACATCCTTGTTTGATTTAACTACGTTTACAGTAGTTGGTGTTGTCATCTAACGCATAACTTAATCCAGAGCAGACACTTATCTCGGTTGAGATGTGGCTTGGGAAAGGGTAAAAAATACACACCATCACCCAGCCTCTCAGGAACCTAGTGTCGGATTTGCATGTACCCCATACACACCGTTTGACTATTTTAAACTTAAAATGACAAGAAAAAACTAATGAAAACTGACTAACTGCAATACATTTCAATGGGCGTGGAAGCAGAAAATGTTGGTGTATTGGGTTAGCTGCGCACTGTGATTGGCTCATTGTGTTTGGGGGCGTGGCTTAGCCATAGGTCAATTGTACTGATTCACTTCCTAAAATGTGGTTTGAAAGAAATGGTGTGGGTTTGGATCTCATGAATCTATCTTGAGAATAAATGGAAGATGTATTAATATTTCTATCGTTCTACAATGCAGTGCTACAAATGACAACAGCATGAAATAAAACTTCTGATTCAACACTAAAGATGTATGAGGCTGTACAGTTTCATTTCAGAGGATGGTCTATTGCCAGATCTGGTTATTACTCTGAAAGGTTTTTCCAAAAGCACAATATCATGGGGATCTATACCTCCGATTAGTGCCAAGTCATTTTGATCTGCCTTTTTCATTGGGTCTTTGCCTCTGTTTGATTTTGCTGAGTCATCTGGAAGTGGAGAAAGAGAGCAAGAGGAAGAAAAAGGACTGGCTTTTGTGATTCTTTTCAGCAGGCTGAAAAATACTGTCATCATTCAGTCTCTTTGCAGTGTGGAAACATTTAAAGAATCATTTACCTGACCGTGTGTGTGTATTGCTCAAAGTGTTGGAGCTGGAAATCGTCCCGCAACTTGATGCTTCCAGACGGCCGATAACGGTAACTAACGGGCTTTGGCTGTTTTGCAGCGCTGCCTTCAGCGGGGTAGCCTGATTAAATTGCACGGAGGACAAGCAGCCAATAAACCCTCTCAATCCAGCCTGGACCAGTTCCTTATCAGAGATGTCACTATCTGAAACAGGAAAAAGAATTGAGAAACTTCTCTAAAATTGTGATGTTAATATACATTCTCCCATCCCAGAGACGACCACACTACAGTTGAAATGTTTGGGTTGGTAAGATGTTTTTGACAGAAGTCTCTTATGCTCGCCAATGAAATATTTCAATATCATTACAATTTAAAGTAATACTTAATGTAATTTATTTTTTATGATGGCAAAGTTGAATTTTCAGCCTTCAGTGTCACATGATACTTCAGGAATCATTCTGATATGATAGTTTGGTGCTAGAAAACGGCTTCATATTTTTTGTGGAAACGGTTATACATGTTTTTCAGGATTATTTAATCCTGATATTCTTCGATTTGGGGTGGAATTATCTGTTTGTCTGACTAATGGGAGACCAAGAGAGACATTTCATCAGTGGCATACAAATTATGCATTTCACTTTTCACTGAATTGAAATGTTAAATTGTTAATGAAACCACTCATCAGCCTTCATTTTAAAAGTAGCAGACTACAGAACCACATAAGTAACCTCTGCTTAATGAACTTTTTTTCTTTTTAAAAAAGCTTCATTATTAGTGTCTAAAAAGCCATTCTAAAACAGAATAAATTAGCACATTCAGTACTGGTTCATTTTCCATTTTGCATCTGTAGTTACTAATGAGATTAAAAGGGGTTTGTTGTAGTTATGTGAGTCTCTAAAACATTTTCTAGTTTTGTTTTTATCAGGTAAAAAGAAACGGTCTCCTAGGCAACACTGAGAAATTTCATTTGGCTTTCACTTGGCAACTCATCTGTGACAGCGCTGTCAAAAGTGTGCACACCAAACATCTGCCTCCCAACCCAGTCAACCACCCACCTTTTCCTAACCTGCCCAGTTTCAAACACCTGATGCCACATCAGTAAAATAGAAATGTGTGAAAGGGCACGCAAGGAACATAAGGAAATAGAGTCCTCTTCAAAAGCCTGCTAGAAACTCACCTTGGATTCTCCCCAGAATCACTGACCTCACGGGGCTGAGAGCAGAGCCAGGAGACAGGCTGTACTGCTGGGTTACTGTGCTGTCAATCTGGAAGGGCACAGATATCATGGCAGATATCTTGTAAAAGATTTATACCAACATTAAGTTTATATCAGTCATGGTAAGCACAGGAAAATAAATCTCAGTTCAATGTGACATGCTTTTAGAAATATCATGCTAGCACTTTATTTTACAGTCCTGTTCCCCATGTACATGCTATGTACTTATTATAGCAATTGAAATAACGGGGTAATAACTAGGTACTAACCCTGAACCTACCCCTATACCGGACCTTAACCCATGTAATTGCCTTTACTTATATTACCCAGCACTTTCTTTGGTAAATAGACGGTACATAATTACCGTAAATACAATTTAGTACACCCCTCACATTTCAGATGTTTTAAGGTGTGCTTTGGGGTTGATAATTCAAATAAATGTAGAAAAGAAAAAATCCAAGGCACTCTTCTTTTACCTCTAAAGAATTGTACTTCTAAAATGCATGGGGTATTTATATTAAGTACGGTACATAAATATGTAAATGTACTTGTAGCACTTAGCATAAAATAAATGTATTTTAAATACATTTGATTATATTTATTTTTCACAAGGGTAAAGTATAGAAGGTCAGGTAAAATGTCTTTGGAGATCAGATATTGGCCATTGTATTAACACCTGCTGCTATGGAGACAACGACTCACCTGGACAAGGAGTTCCTGTCCCTTTCGATTGATTTTGACCCAGTGGAAGCGTCCGTCTGATAGACTGTCTGACTTTGGACTGAAGGTTTCTGTTCTTTTTTCTTTGTTCGACACGTATCGTATTTGCAGGCTGCCTGGGAAATCAGAGTAAAAGCTATTGACTTAAAGTCATACGATAGTTGTTTGATAGAATGAATGTAGTGTTGTAGCGTGACAAGAAGGAATTTCCACACGTTTAAGTCCACAATATAAAGTGTTTTTGTATCACCATAAAGGGGTTTGTGATAATAACCATCTTTTACATGGCTACTTACCAAAGAAATGAATGGTCAAAAAATATTGATTCATTCTATAATGTGAGAAGAAAATTTGGCATGTGTATATGCCAAACACTACACTAGCAGTTAAGATAATTAGGACAATGTCAATTATACTGTTCAATGATCATGATATAAATATATTTGACCACAGATCACTGCAATTTACTAATCAGAATCAAGTACCGAAGAAAGCCATGTCATTTCTTATACACACATCTAAAAAATTAACAGCACCTTAGAAAATATGTCTATAAAATGACCATCAATGTTTAGGGATAGTATGATTTTTTTTTTCAAAGAAATGAATACTTTTGTTCTGCAAGGCTAAATTAAATTAATCAAAAACATTCACAATGTTACAAAAGATTTAACATTTCAAATAAATTCTGTTATTTTGAACTTTCTATTCTATCATTTCCATCATGGGTTCCAAAAAATTATTAAGCAGCACAATTCGACTGCTGAAAATTCGACCATAAGTCAAAAACATTTTTAAAAAATCTTATCAACCCCAACCTTTTGAACAGTAAAGTCAAAAGTACATGAGATAAAACCTCCAGTAATATCTGTGTCCTAATAAAAGCGTTTTTCTTTTGGATAGAGTGAGATAAACAAATGACAGAGTGCACCTGGTGCAATCTGTAGTTACCAAAATAGGAAATAAATCACACTACACTTTAATCACAATAAGGTTATTTCACTCCAATTAACAATTTGAGAATTATGAATGCTTGAACATGTTTAACAGTCATTTGGGATAACAGGACCAAGCAAGTCTGCAATGAAAAATTCTCATGTGAATTATGGAACAAGACTAACTCCATTAGTTCTCCCTTCTCTGTCATTAAGTATTCTTTACAGCATTTGCTTGCTTCCTAGCTTTAATGAATTGATTTCCATGATCAGTCTTTCCTTAAGCATACTTTCATTTAGTTCTGCATTTCACGTGCCTCGCCTCAGTGGTTCTTTCTTTTACCACCTTTCTCCCTTTTTTCCTCCCTTTATGTCAAAGATTGATGTGCATTTCTATCTGCTGTTAGCCAGTCATGTGTTCTCGATGAGATGGTGACAATTCTTTTCCTCTAAACGGAAAAAAAGCAGAGCCGTGAAAGAGTACTGTAAATAGTGATGAGAGACAATGGTTGCAAAACCCCTCAATTTAGATGCCATGTGTTCTTTTGATAAAGGGTGTGGGTGTAACTGAGTGAGAAAAAAAAAACTCAAAAAGGAAATTGTATGATGTATAACTTTTCTACTGTGTAAAAATGTAACCTGCATAGATATCATTGAATGCCAAAGTAACACAGATATTGCATATTTATACTAATCACATACTATTCACGGGGATAGATTTTTTCATCATTTACTCAAATGACTTTCCACAAAAACATACTATTTTCTGGCTGCTCTTTTCTAGTCAATGAAATCAGATAATGACTATGGTGGAAAAAAGTATATTTGCTTTTAGCTTGATACAGGTTTGGAACAATATGAGAATGAGCAAATAATGACTGTTCCCCAAGTTTTAGAGTAACGTAAGACTTGGTACCGTTTGATGATAGCATAACAGCCATGTAATGCTGGTCAAGAGTGTGAGCTGTCAGGATCAGGGCAGGCACATGACGCGTCAAGAACCCAAACGACACTTTCTCTTGAGATTTGGAAACTTCTGCATTATGGAAGCCAGCCGGTGACTCTCTGGCTTCCTCATTCAGAATTCCGGAAAATGGCTCCTGGAGAGTGTACAGGACTGAAGATCCACTTTCAAAGGAAGCCGCTAGAGCTGTGATGGACACAGAGAGACAAAGAAGTCCCTGGTGAACATCATCATCATCATCTCTATGCAAATTCAGATTGTGCGCAAAGGCAATGAACTCTACGTCTCATCTGTCATTATTAGAGCTATAGAAACAACAACATTAGCATTGTTTCCTCCCCAACCACAGCTGAGACTGTGGCGGAAAGGTGTCCCACTGATTCTTTCTGTCTCTTCTCATTTTTTGGTCATCTATTCTAGTTAGCAGTAAACAGCCGTGGCTTGAGCGGACCCGTTGTGACATGGCATCGTGAAAAAACAAAGCCATTACATCACTAATCTGACTGACAGGCTGCTGGATGGGTATGAGGCAGAGCAATGGCTGCTATAATTAAATTCCATTTGTCAGTTAAAGCTTTTCTGCCAAAGCCCGTCAGCCCAGCCTCAAGGAATTCAAGGTGAATACGCCATCTAGGGCATGTTGTCATCCAACGGTGGCCAACCCTCCTGATCTAATAGAAAATGGAAAATTGCCTGAAATAGTTGAAATTTCCATAGAATATACAGTGGGTTGACTTCCATACCTGTTGTACACATTCTTAGTACAAACGCCTCCCACAGTATGAGACTCATGCCATATCCAACAGCTCGCAGCAAGCTGTGGCTTAAACGGATATTAAATCATTTCCTATAGAGCCCCGATTTAATTTCTCTCTGTAGGCTTTGATCTAATTGTGCGATTTTACCGTGTAAATCCAATAAAAAACACTTCCTCCATCAAAAATGCCAACATTCCGGCATTTGAGAACTACAAGCATCTGAGGTGTGCTTGAGTGCCTATTTCATTCAGCTCTTTTTGATTGGTGCAATAAGACCTATGAAAGAGAGCTGGCCTGGAGGCCATCGTAACCTCACCTGTTCTGCAGTGTGGCCCACCGAAGGCTATCTGTGTGCAGTCGCAGGTGTACCTGCTCCTCTCTTCCACACATCTCCCTCCATTATGGCAGATGCTGTCACTTGTGCAGTGACCCGGGCAGCCTGAATTCACCCCAGGGGTGGTCTTTGCACGCTCGTAAAGGTCAAGGGTTACCCCATTAATGGTGAGGGCACGTAAGCAGCCCAGAAAGCCCCTCTGCCTAGAAGCCGTTCCTCCTATTGGGGAGATTAAAATCATTAATTGTCTTTAAAAGCCAAGTATATAATAATGTCATTCTCAGGAAATGATGCCATTTGGGTGCTACAGTATCTGTGTCACAATCACTTACTACTGACACAATTAACTGAATTCTTATTATTTGATAGTCTTACTCCATATACTGTAGTGTGTAAACTTGATTAAAACTAATTAAATGTTTCTGAATTTCACCATTACACTTTAATTGGCTATATAACAAAACATTTTACAAATATTTTTGTTTTTACTGACATGAAAATCATGCTTTCATATAGATTCTTCTAAAATGCTTTATTTATCTGTCAAACTCTCTAAATAATCGTTTGATATTTGAGGGAGTGACCAGAGGCAAGTTACTAAACAGATATCGTTTATGCCATAAAGCAAGAATTCTGCCTGTAAATAATATGGTGTAGCGAAATGATATTTTTGATCTTCAACCCTGTCACAATATTTAACCATGCCATGGTTTCTGACTTGAAACATGATTACAGTTTCCTTCTGTAAAACAAACTCAATTTTCTCCGTTCCCACGGTTATTCTTAGCTAAAATATACTCAATATTATTATAACATTACTAGCGACATTTGCATGTCTCAATTGCATGTTTGCGCACCCACAAATAGTTGACTGCTGAGCTGAAGCCGATAGGGTCTTTCAGACGGTGCTTCGGTTAGCTCCAGCGGCAGCGAGTCAACCTGCAGAGAAGCTTCTTTCACATTTCGCTCAGCACGAATATAATGCCATTGACGATCATTTAAGACTACAGGCGATCGAACGGTAAGAACTACTGGTCCATCCCCAAGGTCAAAGGTGAAGGTCACTGTAGAAGGTGCTGAGAATGACAAAAACAGTGGTATGTTTATCTCACACTTTAAACAAAAGCATGACAACGCAGTTCACTGAAAGTTCAGTGAATGTTCTTCTTTTAAAGAAGTGCTCAGAGGCTCTTTCAAGAAACTTGCTGAAGCCTCTATTTTCAGGTCAGACGCACCAAATACGAGTGCATTTCCCTTCAAGCATGTATTATCTAAAATGAACTGTTATGCCACTGTGTCTTGATTTCAAGTTAAAATATCAAATATATAAATAAATATACTTAATTCAGCATATATTTTCTAGAAACAAGAGCTATTTTCTCTTCAAAAAATTCAGCAATTTCTTGCTTCAAGCAAATTTTTTATAATTTTTTAAATTAGAAATGATATATTTTATATTTTTTTTTATAAAAAAATGTACAATTTAGACTTTTTCTTGGAAAACAAGAATAAGAAAAATAATGTTTTAAAGTAATAGTCCAAGCACTCACAAATAAGTTCCAGCCTTATGAAGTCTCTGACACCCAGATTCTCCAAGAAGACTCCCGAGAGAGCACTAGTTTTGAAAAACAGTGAAATATCGACGCTCAGTTCGGCTTGCAGGGTGGGGAAGTGCAGATAGGAGGATTCCTGATAAAAAGATGCAGTGTTCCAGAAAAATCCTGTAGCAAAGGGACAGGCAAGAAAACACACAGCGTGTTGAAAAGCAAATTGTGCTCTCAATTCTATAAAAAAGGGTCCATCTCTTTTGCATTTTGAAATATGAAAATATATTCAGCAGAGAGCCGTATTACCCCCCATTCCCCTTTTAAATTTGGTAAACAAAACACCCACGGTTGCCATAGCAACGCAGCGGTCCAATATGAAGCTCAGCCTGTGAGTTTGTCCGGTTTGTGTCTCCAATGGCGATCTCACTAAGGGGTAAATGGTCTTTATAAGACAGCACACCAGTATCATTTGCCCTGCAGGAGGAGAAAAAGAATGTGGAAAAGAAGAAGTAATGAGCGAAAGGCCAGTATAAAGACTTTTTAATCTCTCTCTGAGGTAGACAATTACCCTCTGAGGAGTGTGTATGCTTCACTTGTTGCTTGAAAAACGGTAATACTTGCCCTATGGCGAGTATTCATCTTTTTGCTTGTCTCACTCACTTTAACAGAAAAGCTAATGAAGGATTTTAAAGTGTGAATCCAATACAGCCTTTTAATTGACTAAAACTCTTCAATCTGTCTCAGATTTCTTTCTTTCATTCTATGAAAAACAACAATCCTATTATCTGAAAAATAGGGGGGAAAAAAACTGCTAAAGTCCATTGGGTTATTTTTTTTTTTACCTGAAGATTAACGGTATGTCATATTGCATAAATTATATTTGACTGAAATGCTTTTAAATATGTTATCTTCTACAAATGATAAAACAGTGCAAGATGTTATGTCTTGTGGAATAGAAGCCTTTGAGCTATAAAACTTTGTTTATGATTACTACTATATAGTGATTTTCAAGTTGAAATTGTATATACTGTATAAATAACAGTGACTAGAAAATATTTTAGGTATGGGATTGGCATATTTTGAGTTTTGATATTTGGGCTAGTTTTGATTTACCATTGGGATTTTTTTTGTATTTTTTTTGTAGCGCAGACCTGACAAGTCTGATTCACTGTAAAATAAAAATTTACCAGATGTCTTGGTCTGCATCACAGTTGCAGAAGTAATTCATATCCCTACAGTTGCCATCCAAGCTACAAGAACACTGCTGGACCCCAGGCAGAAATCCTCCCCAATATGTTCGTTTCACTCCGTCTCTATCCAGCCACCACGACAGAGGCGTTCCATCTGAAAAAGGACAAAATGCCCCAAGGATAAATATATATATATATTTTTAATTTTATATTTCTTGCAGTAAATAATTATACTGTTTGGAGTCTAATGTAATTTTGTCATGCATGATGACATCTGGTCTCCTGCTGCTCTGAGACTCCTGTCAGTCAAGTAGCCGTTATAGTATCGCTACAATGTGCGTGACCAGACATCTGCTATCACAGCGGTGCAAAGATCTGTCCAAAAGCTTAGCCAATGACAAATGGCAATCAGATATGCAAGATGTCTAGTGCAGGAGGTTCATATTTGAACAATGTTTGATCAAAGGTTGATCTTTGCTCAAAGGCTTTATTGGATCTCATTCAGATTTTGCAAATCAAAATGAATCCAAAGAGTGAGCCAAATGTTTGATGATAAGTTAACTCCAACCCAGTAAAAAGCCTAAGCACATCAACCTCACAGAGTCAAAAGTATTAAAGCAGTGTGCAGAAGAAAAAAAAAAAACATATGGAATAATTTAGCGTAAAAGCTTAGAATCTTTTTTTAAGTCTTTAAGCATGCCTTTGCAATTCAAATGCTCTCATCACTTCCCACAACCATCCCTGCATGACAAAAATTACAGTATAACCACTTTTTAAGTGAACATCATCATTCACCGCACATCGTCGTCATGTCACACTTGAGCCCCTTTAATATCGGCGGTAATAACCTGCTGTTGTGAATCGTTTAGCTGTGAGGTATGCTTTTGTTCCTTTGGAGCATATTAACCAAATTTAGAGGATTAGAATTCCTGAGGTAACATAAATCACACACTTCATAAAAAGACAACATTTCAGCGGTAAAGAGAAACACAGTGGACCAGAGTAAGAAAGCAGAACCAACCCCAGGTGTCAAAAAGCCGAGACTTCCTGCAGCGATACATCACTTCCTGTTGGCAATGTTCTGAGGAGGTCACGAGCGAGCGGAGATGGTATGGTGAGATGGTGTAGTTGAAGATGAGAACGAAAGGGCTGCGCGGAGTGGATCCTCGAATGTCAATGGGCCTCGTGTAATCGTGACCCACCACAGTCCAAACTTTATCTTCTGTGCAAGAAACACACACAGAGAAAAACAGCACACTTGAAAAACTACTAAAGACTGAAATCCCCATCGACTCCGAACGTGCATCAACCCTCTCAAGCCTGCACTCAATCGACCGTATGTGCTTGTGAATGAAAATGAGAGATTAACGGAGTGATGGAGTCGTATGCAAATACCTGATGAATATTAAGCAGAGAACAGAAGGTCACTCATTCAGGAGGGTGTGAAATGATGAGAGTGCGGTAGTCGACACTAGCACCTTTCACTATGCACATTGAAATAGGTTTGTGGTGTCTTGCAGAATTAGCATGGCTAATAGCTCCTGTAATTGGGGTCAGTTTCAAACGATTTTCTTGCCGGTGCTTGTTGGCGTCGCTTGAGAAAAAAAAAGATCTATTTGTATTGGGTCTCCAGATCTTTTAATGCATTCAGCGTGACAAAGCTAACTTTGCAATGTGAATAAAGCTCATTGAAAGCTGACTTGGTAAAGTAAAGCCAGCTTAGCTGTGCCAATGTGCAGCAGGTGGTCACATCGTATGACAGCTTCCCTGGGATTACTTTTCTCAGCTCGGCTTGCAGCTCCAATAACATCAGAGCCAAAACCTGCTGCCTATGAAACTAAGAAAAATGAAGCTATCAGTCTCAGCTAGTATGTGCTGCCAGTCTCTGCAGGCAGAAATGCTTCTTGATATTTTTTTCTTTCTTTACCTGCACTCCTCCCCGCTGCTGACATAACGGGGCTTGAATTTCACTGCGTGATGATATAATGCATTACAGTCTTATCTCAGAAACAAATCAGCCCAGCATCTGATGCAGCAGAGTAATGTCAGAGGCCAAAAACCAAGGTCGGTGAAATTGGGGATGAAACCTGACAGGAGATGTGAGAAAACACATTGTTCCTGGTGGCAGAGGATACATCTGCTTGCATGCCCCCACATGTCTTGGAGAGAAACACAATTGGTTATCATATACAGTATGGGCTTAGTCAAGTCAAGTCAAGTGAGCTTTATTGTCATTCTCATAATATGTGGAGACATACAGTGTAACGAAATGTAATGCCTCACAGGACCACGTTGCAACATATTTAAACATAAATATAAACATATAAACAGTAGAAGAATAACATATAAACCTACACATACCTTAGCTAACCTACTGATCTACTGAAAGAGGCAGTCTAACTATAAATATATTATATATAATCAAACTATTTATATACTAACACTAACTACACATATAATACATCTAAGCATACATATACTTACCTTAAAGACTGTACATATACCCTGGACATCATATTAACATCATATAATATGTAATTTTACTGTAAATTATAGCCAAATTTAATTAAAAACTTTGCAATTAAAATTAGTAAAAAAAAATTGATTCATCTCATTTTTGTTTTGTATAGTAATACATGTTGTTTTTTGTGCATGACCCTGTGCACGGAGCATTACATGAGCATTGGCGATGTTTTATGGAATTTATTATGTGATTTTCTTATGTAAACTGTATTCTTATGGTGGTCATCAGTACATTTTAAGGTAAAAAGCAGATTTTGGTTCAAGTAGTTTGGTATATTAACATTATCATTTATTAAAACATATGGTTATAAGTAGCCTGTGCCACCCTGTAATATTTTTTACAGTGTAATGTTACTACAAAAAGGGCCAGATCTACTAAACAGGGCAAATAAGCTTGACACTGCATTCCCATAAAGAGAAGATAGTAGTGGAAAGTTCTGACAATGCGCAAATTAAAGAATAAATGCAGCCACGTCTAGCGCAAAATGAGTTAAGACATGCCACCACTTTTGGTATTAAATAATGGTGCAAATACAAGAACTGAACTACCAAAAACCATAGCAAAATCATGTTGCGTGATTTATTTAAATACTTTATTTTATGCCTGAAAGGGTAACTCCAACAAATGCATATCCAATAAGGTCAGCTACAAAAATAACCGTGTTGTGCCGACAACTTTTCATCGGCAATTTTTCCTCAGCGTGTCTTTAGTAAATCCCGACAGTATTTTTTTCAACGCCAAAAGAGGGTTTGCACTGGTACAAGCTGTTAGTAAATCTGGCCCATAAGGTCAAATTCATTCACTTTTGCAGCCCTTCTGCACTCTGTATTTCAATCCACAAAACTCAATTTCTCACAGCTATCACGCACAGTTTGCAGCAGGAGTAATTGCTAAAATGATGAAGAAATTATGGAAAAGTTATAATAATCCATCCTACATCACGGGAAATAAACAACGCTATCAATAGGCACAAATTACAGCAACATCACACCATCTAGATGTCTTGGAAACACTCATCAGCTGCTTCGTTGAATCCAGTCTAGCTGAATCAGGGATGTTTGTGTGTTGCTTGAGCAAAAAATCTGCCTCACCGGAGGCTCAATGGGAGGAAGGTTGGCCAACCCTACTCCAACCTGCTGAACTAGACAGCCGCATGAGATGCTGAACTCACTTAATGAGATGTGTGATTTCTCCAGGCAGTCCTCCACACATGCTGAGGTCACACCTGTCCTTGCACTGAATAAGGTTTGTAAATGAGAAGTGCTGAGGTTTAAGCTTCATCATTGAATAATGTTAAACATGATGAACATCAGTGTATAATACATCTAGAAATGTGCAAAGCTGGGTATGCATAATTAGATCACTCACCTGCCATGGTGCAGTTCACTTGAGTGTGCTCTAGAGGTCCACTCCCATCAAGGTCGATTGTAAACACACTCGACTGGCTTCCCGTTTTCCTGAAGGCCTCGCAGGATCGCTCATATATTGCTGAAAAATGATGAATCATAGAAATGATGGAAATAAATCTGCTGCTGTTCTGTTTATGTTGTGTTTGATTACAGAATGCTTGCATTTTGGCACATCAGCATGCTTGGCACAGAGATACTCAGCCTGTGGGAGGTAAAAAAAAACACTAAAGTGAAATCAAGAACATTGTTTTTTTTTTTTTGCCTTAAAGTTTAAGGTATAATCATAAGAAAAAACATCTGTCAACTTTTGTTAATCAGCAGAATCAGTCAAACACTCGGAACACTCAGCCTGGCCAAAAACAGCCGGTATCTGTTAAATCAGCCACAAATAAAAACAGTGTGTCATGTGCAGTCTTTTTTCATTTATATTAAATTAACTTCCATAACCATTGCAAACAGTTATTTAGCAAACGGAGGTAATTACTGTTTTCTTGGGACCTGTTTGTTACGACAGAGAAGTCCTCTGTGCGACAGAGAGAACTAATTTGTTGCACGTGTTGTTTTGCTGATGGTAAATCGCACAGCAGGACTTGTAAAACGGAAATATTGCATTTCTTTGTCTTTTGGTGCAATAAGTCTAACAGATGGCATTGCCATACCTCTCTCTCCTCCAGAGAACATGTACAGATGAAACTGTTCATGTGGCGGCAGATTAGAATATATTGATGTTTAATATGATTACAAAATTTGCTGAACAAATTTGACAACAAATTTGATTACAGCAAGGATGCGTATGAAAATATCTGGTGAGCTTACTCGCAAAACTACCATAGATACAGATGCCAAAATTAAATGGATAAGTTGGTGAGTGCATTGATTCAAATCACTGTTACACTTGTCAAGTGATGCATTATGCATGCCATAATTAATGTTAATGATTTAAAGATAAAGGGCAAGTATCATTGGCCTATTCAAATAAGTATCATTTACAAATAGTTGCACAGTTGGACTTTGCATAACTCACAGTTGTGGCAGGTGGCTCCTGTGTATCCTGTTCCAGAACAGTCACAGTAAAACTGGTCCCATGACTGGATGCATTGACCACCGTTTTCACACAGATTGGGCAAACACCTGTTGGGATGAACACGTTCATTTGAAATGATAATTTTTTTAGATTTTTAGATTGGGTAATAATAACCATTTTTATTGCTCATACCCATTTTATTATTATTATTGTACTGTATGTAATATTATTACAAACAATACTATTATTAAACATTTTTCTATGCTTATATGTTATGAGTTGCCCCACACTGAATCTAGCCTACGTACTTCCATTCAATTTTCATTTTCCTTCAGTACTACGTCTGGCTTTGCTGTATATTCTTGGGTTTTCTGGATCAAATTTTTACCAGTCCAATTAGCAAACAGAGGGAGTGGCTGAGAACGATGATGTTGAGGTAGGAAAGTTTGAGTTGTAGACATTTGTCATGACCAAACGTTAGCGATTGGTTATTGCAAATCCAGAGTGACTCTGGTCCAATAGTTTTAAAGACTCTCTGTACAAATGAAATGTGTACGAGAGTCTGGTAGGACCAGGCTACATTGAATCTGCTTCAAAAAATATTTCCATAGAATTGGGATTGGGAATGTGGTTCTACACATTCTATGTTACTTGCATGTTTTATTTTTGATTATTTTGAGTAATTTGGTTATAGTCCAAGCTAAAAAGAGAGAGTATCACCCCGAGCTTTGTTTAACCCATTTCATTAACTGTTAATTATTTTCCATTAACGGATTTTCCTCCAAAACTAGCATAGAAAAGGCAAATAAATTCTGCCAATTTTATCTGGGCCAAATTCTATAGCTGATAACTACATTTTTTAAGTCATGCATAAAGATTCAGATAAAAGTAGTAAGGAAGCAATGTGTGTGAGCAAGAAATCAATGGGGAAAACTGACCTGTCTTGTATGTTGCAAACATCAAAGCTAAGCTGGCTAAAGTTGTCCAGGCTTTCCTGCTGAATCTGAAGGAAGTCGACCGGATGGTTGTTGATGAACAGGAGACGAAAGCAGCCCTGAAATCCTCTGCTGGGGTTCTCACAGATGAAATTGCTCTGGAATAAAGGGCAGCCTAAAATAATGGAAAATTCCAACTTATTGTCTTTTAAATCAAAAACAACATCCACAACTAATACCAAGTTGCACAAAGACAAATCTCTGCAAAGCAGCTTATATAATCTCAGCAGGACTGCAATATCTCAGAAGTCAGCAAAATGAGAGATTTAGAGGTCTTAGTTAAGACATTGAAAGTTTGAGTCAGAGATTTCAATAACAGCATTGAAGAAAACGCATTTATCCTCAACAGTAATTGAATGTGGTTAGAGCTGCATGAATGAACTAAAAACCTTGCTTGTGAAATGAATAGACCCTAAGAATTTCATTCAGGAATATGAGGAACGTTCAGTTGATGGAGGTTAGAGTTAAAAAGCCAGACGAAAATTGTACTTTGCATTCAGGATAATGTTTTGGGTAATAACTGCTTTGTGCCCGCAGCCATTAGGCTAGTTCAGAAAGGAGATCAAAATAAGTTATTATCCCTGAATTTGAATATAGCCAGTAACTCTTTCCAAGAATCAGGATAAACAAGTTATTTCCATTTCTAATATTATACCTCCAACGTAGATGGTTGTTTTTTGCACGTTCTGGCTAAGGCCAATGATTTCCATGAAGACAGGCTTCTGATTGTTGACTGTTAAAGACACTTTTTGACCCTTGAGCTCGACGGCTATGGAATGCCACTGTCCATCACTCAAATTCTGACCTGAAACACAAACAGTGTAGGCATATACAATATCTAAAAATGTATTAACAATCTAAATGCTATTGCTCCTACATATCTTACCACTGAAAACCTGAGCAGAGTTTTGTGGCCCTGCAGAGATAGAGAGGAGCAGCCGGGCCTGGCTGAGCTCCAGAAGCAGGTTAATGGGGTCCGGATCATGAGAGAGAGGGACTGAGAACAGCAGCCCTTCTTGATTCCACGTGCGGAACTGAAGGCGCACAGAGAGACCCTCTGTAATATAATCTGCGGGGAGCGCCAGGAAGCTGCCTGTGGAACTGAGAAACGTCACAGCCACTGACGACGACTCAGAGCAGGAGAATGTCACATTTCCCTTAGTGAGGAAGAGAGAGAGAAGAAGAAAATATGAAAAAGAAAGAATAGAGGAAAATGTGGAGAGCAGAATTAAAAAGGAAAAGACAACGAAAAGATGGAAACAAGGAGTCATACTAAATCATACTGATGTTGGTAGTGGGCATATATAAAGGGAATTATTGTAGCAATAGCAATGTGTGCTGGCAGTTTCTTCCATCTTAGCAAACAGTTTAAAACTCTATAGTTCAGCATCTCTCAAACTGGGGTTTGTGAACCCCTCGGGGTCCCATAATATAACTTATCAAAACATATGAATTGGAGGTATTATGAAAAAAGGTAATAATCAGATGATTGTGCCAAAAGTCTATCTACTGTATATATGGAACATTATGAATAGTGGTGTTATTTTTATTTTCTTCCTGTGATGGGGCAGCCCCAATAGTTTACACTGAAAAAAAGCCTGTACATGCCAGTTTATTGTGTAAAAAAAATACCATTAATATCTAGATAAAACATTTTATCTATAGTTTAAGTTTAAAGTTCAATAATCACATTACGCCGTATAGTGATTAACGTTTTTCTCCAAATTTAAGACCTTTTAAAATGATCATTAAGATTTATGTTGTACTATTTAAGATATCATTTTTTTCTATGACCTTAAATTTGATCAAACCTAATTTAAGACTTTAACGACCCAATGGAGCTTAAAAAAACCAAAAGGAGACCTCAAAGTTAAAAAAAAATCTGCTATAAATCAATACCTCTGAAAACTTTAATAATGAAACATTTAGGTTTCCTACTTACAACATGAGCATGGAAGCCATGTTTAATTTAACTTTTGTTTTGAGGACCAAAGTGAAGTTCTCAAATCATTTTGAAAGTGTAACCTACAGTATATAAACAATACGCCACACAGTTGCTTAATTTTAATCTACAGCCTGTTAATCAGAATTAATAATCACGATTAAAATATCAAGGGAATCCTGCAGCTCTTAATTTATATTGTACTACAACAGTTTAAACAAATAGCTATAGCACTGCATGAACATCATTCAGTCGGTGAACTGTTTGGAATGTACAGCAATAAGCTGGTAAGATCGTTGACAAGATGGAGGGTAAGAAAAAAAATGAAGATCATTGCTCTTTTTTTCCTGCCTGCGAGAGAAATGGAAAAGAGGAAAGACATCACAGCCTCTTAATTAGGGAAAGAGAGCTCTTTTATGGTGTGATGCACAAAACTTCACACAATTGCAGAAGAACACACAGAGCTACTGTGATTTACCAAGTGACACTGTTGCAAATTGCATTGGATATAAATGCCTTTTGTGTGAATAAAGATATCTATGATACAATAAAAAAAAAATACATTAACAAATCTATGCTTTGAAGTCTCACATTGCCTTTCACAACAAGATTTCACATCCTTCACAAAGAATGGTATTTGATGGTCTTCAAACTAACTGGCTAAGGTGTGTTGTGATTCTCACAATATAGGCATATATTTACAGTAACACTAGCACTTGTAAAAGTTCAAACTTACCACGGTATAGATCTGTGGCTTCCGTCTCTTTGCCATGTCGATGACATTGACGCCATTGTAGTTTAGGTTCTCTATGCAGCCATGGAAATTTTCATGGAGAAACGTCCCAGGCTTTCCAGGCAAAGGGATTCCTCCGAAACTGAGCTTGAATAAGGACAGACAAACACATAGAAACACACACACATACACACAAAACAACCACAAATCCCAGAGATCAGTAACAATACAGTTTGTATAGCAGAAAATACTTTTGAGGGCAATTTTATAAGACTTTTATATAGAATAAATATAGGCATTTTATAAACCAGAAACATTCTATACTTTGCTTCCCTTGTTATAACGGGAATCTCTTTAAATGAACAAAGAAAAGATCAAATAGAGAGAAAAGGAAAGTGGTAAATATTTTAGCTGTTTGTAACGAGGTTAATCTATAATAAATGTTATCAATTTTCATTCAGTATTGAACCCATTAATCATTTAAGCGAGAATGAGTAAAAAAAAATACAAAAAAAGGGGATTGGGGTCTCTGCTCTCATGTTTGAAATAATCACGTATACCTGTACACACAAATGAATAAATGGAGGAATGGAAGATATGGTGGAGGTTGAAGAAAAGAAAAGTTGGAAAAGGACAGAAAAATCTGTCACAAAAATAAAGATGAAATTATATTAGGAAAACGCTTGGTTGCGATAATGATACCATGTATAGACGATAGCCAGTGATATTGTCAAAAGCATCAGCTATTGGCCTTATCAAGAGGATTTGACATTTCCAATTAATGTATTAAATTAGGCTATTATTATTTGTACTACGTGAGTGATAACGAGCAACACCTGGGCGACGCACCAGTCTCGTATCTCTCACAGAGGAGCGGAAGCATAAAGCAGGAGTGACGACAGTGGAGATCGAGATAGGGCAGGCCTGGATTAATGTTGTGTTTTGTTGTATATGACAGCAGTCGTCCGTGAGGGGCTGCTGTCTTTACTTTCATTTTGTATTTGTTTATTTTATGTTTATTGAAGTTTTTGAATGTTCGCCGGTTCCCACCTACTTCGTCCCACAACATCTAACCTTGCTAGAGTGTATTTTAAAGGGTCTGTGTTTGCTTGTTTGGTTTACATCTTTACCTGTGCTGAGATTCCTAGAATCACTGACTTTGTTCTCTATGGTACTTTGTTTCAGGCTTTCATAAGTTTGCAGTGACAGTGATTGAATAAAATGTTTTGAAATGTGGTTTCAGATAACAAGGGAGTAGGATATCTTTATGCTTGTCGCAGTAATAGACCTTATTCTTTTTTGTTTTGTTTTGTTAGAACAAGAATACATTTGTTAAAGGGATACTTCACCTCTGGAAAGATGAATTGAAGATGAGAGAGACAGATTGTGACTTTATTTTAAGATAAATTCCCAAAAATGAAAACGGAAAAAATGGAATTTGGGGAAAAAAATAAAATGGGCCCTAATAGAAAATAATTCAGATTTATAATAATTTACACCCAGATCACACCTCATAGTCTATCTCCAGTGTGTCCTCTTGTCCTGGACTGCGGAAGTGTTGCGTGTGTCCATCCACGGTGAAGTTGACATGTTTGTTAAATCGCTCAATTTGAACAGAGTGCCAGTGGTGGTCATCCAGCAGGCTTCCTACCGTGACAGAAGATGAGCGACCGCTAGACTGAGGCTTGGCATCGTCTGTACAGAGACAGCAGAAGAGAGACTAGGTACATAGACTTTAGAACCTAAGGTGTGTTCACACTTGTAGTAGTGTTAATTTCGTTAACGAAAACTAAACGAAAATATTTTCGTCAACGCACATTTTTCACCGAACGAAAACTAGACGAGACGAGACTAAAATCCCCACTAATAAACAATAACTGGGACTAAATCAGAAATAATTTTCGTAGACTAATAAAGACGAGACGAAAATGTAGTTCGGTAAATAAAGACTGGGCTAAAATCTATGGACATTTTAGTTCACGAACAAAGACGAGACGAAAATTACATATTATTATATGATATGGTTTTGTCAAATCCTGTCTCCTCCTCCGCCTCCTCCTCGTCAGCTCTTCCGCCACACACCCACGTTCAAACCTGGAGCGGGCGGGCACAGTCAGAGTAGCCTACACAACACATGGAGCAGACAGGAGCTGGATTCACGGTGAGGCGGCGGCGACAGGTTAAAAGTAAAACATGCTTTGCACGGGGCTCGGGAGAAAGAAGAGACGTGATATATGGACACATTTTGTTACAATGATAAACTAACTAATGATGGCTAACTTTCATAGCATTTAGTATCCAGGCTGGCTATGTTGCGTTAGCTTCTTAGCACGTAGCGACCGTAGCCACTTGTTGATAGAATTGTATGTGAAGTTAAATTTATGCTAACTTAGATATGTTATACTGGCCGGGCAACTATAGTTTCAGTAACATTTGATTAAAGCAGACAGACGCTTTAAAAAGATTAGTTAAAAAGATTTCATACGTTCTAGCAATCTATGCCTTGTTTCACCTTAAATACTGTACCTTTATATACCATGTGAACTAGCTGGTAGGAAAGCACTTTTGTTGTATCAGTTGGAGTTTTTTTTTTTTCACAACATTGACCTCAAATCTATTTATTTTATTATTCTATGTGAACTAGCTTTAAACAGCCAGCACTTGTGTTAAGTTCATAATACACTTTATTTTATTTATTTGTTTCCTTTGTCAGTTGTATTTTATTTGTTTTAATGCAAGCATTTGTGTTTGTGTCTTTGAACCTTAACAATGTTCAAAATAAATATGCAAATATTGTCAGAACATCTTCCATGTATGCATGTGTTCCTTAAAATTGTGTTTTTTTATCAAAAAGATGAGAGAAAATGTTGAAATGTGAAAAAATTTTAGGAAATGTTAAATATTATCTGCTGACAAAAAAGTAAAAGGTTAAAATGATGTCCTGACTAAAACTAGACTAAAATGTTGACAGTTTTTTTTTTTGACTAAAACTAAACGAATAAAATTATGTTTTCTTGGACTAAAATAAAGACTAAAATGCTCGACTTATAGTCGACTAAAACTAGACTAAATAAAAATGGGATGATGTCGACTAAATGTGATAAAAACTAACAAGCGATGCTGAAACTGGACTAAAACTGAAACTAAATTTAAAAATGGCTGGTAAAATTAACACTAACTTGTAGTTTGGTTCTCTAGGTTATTTTTTCTGGACCAAAATAGAAAATTATACATTTAGTCCTCGTTCATGTAGTGTTATTTTTATCACCGGACCTAAAAAAGGAGATGCAAGGAGATGTATATTTTGCAATGAAACATATCAAACACCCAAAACAATGCTGTGTTCTGGGCTGAATTTTATGTGCAGGTACCTCAGTCTACTTTTTTAGTACACACCTTCTAATGGCAGAGTTTACATTTATTCAAATGAACTGCACTAACAGAGCAATCGCACCAGAGTTTTAATCAAAACCTCCCAAGTGTGAACACACCCGCGTTGTCAAAAAGTCGCGTTGAAAAAAAAAAAAAAGACGATATCAGCATTTCCTTCTAGCATTTCAAGCACTGTTGAATGGATTTTTAATAACCTCCAGCGCTCAACATTTGTCTCTGATTGGACATTGTGTTTACGCGTTCAATATGTACAGTATGTCTGTGATTGGCTACAATAATCGACGCTTCTAAAACATGTTTTAAATAGACGTCTTTGGCACTTGTGTGCTTACAAAAGACACATAATATATCCCTAATATATCCGCTGATAGATGCTTGCTTTCAAATGCTCCCATGTGTATGTGTGTAAGCGCCAGTGTTGGGTGAGTTACTCTAAAAAAGTAATTAATTACTAGTTACTAATTACCTCTTCAACAGTGTAATTAGATTACTGTACTAATTGCTCTCTCTAAAAAGTATTTAATTATTTTTAATTACTAATTACTTTCAAAATCCCATATCAATCTCAACCAGCTGAATAATACAAGGACATGAATCTGTTTTAATTCTTCCAAATAAATACTATAAAATTGCATGAATTATCCTTAAACTGACCAAGGTGGAGAAGGTTACATTATAAAAAACATACTTTTTAGCATCGGACAATACATTTTGATGTTAAACCCACTATTGTTTTATGATCTCATGACATTTCACACTTTTTTCATACATATTTTACAATAATTCATACGAATTTGTACAAGTGCGGTCGTACAATTTAGACACCTCATAAAATGCATACGAATCGCTGTGAGATCGAATTGATCTATACACAGTATTTACCTCAATTACATCATAAAGTAACTGTATTTAAATTACAGATAAATTAAGAGTAATCCCTTACTTTACATTTTCAAGGGAAAAGTATTTAAATTACAGTAACTAATTACTTAGTAATTAGTTAAACCCAACACTGGTAAGCGCTCAGTGAAGAGCACCAACGATCAAGAAAGCGTTGATCATTGTAGCCAATCACAGACATACATGTTGCGCGAGTGAACATAATGGCCAATCAGAGACATACATGTTGAATGTGTGAACACAATGGTCAATCAGAGGCGTTTAAGAATCCGTTCAACAGCACTCAAAATTCTAGAGGGAAATGCTAGTATCATCGTATTTTTAAATTTCAGTACTGACTTGGTACCGAAATTGCTACTTTAGACAACGCTACCTAAACCAAAGAATTCAGCCAGGCACTTCATTAAAACTCCACCAAACTGTCCATCCATTAATCCATCCATCCAAATTCGTTAGGTACTAGGAAGCAAATTCTCAGGTACCTTTCTCTTATTTCACTCTCAGATCCATCAAGATACACTTGAGTGAGAATAAAAGGATAGAAGGTCATCCTGAATAATACGGTATGAGATTCTTTAGCAATTTCCTATTCCTTTGGGAGGAAAAAAAAACACTCTTTTCTTATTCTCGTTTATCTTGTGCCCTGCCCTTCTCTTCCACTCACCCAAATTGAGATGCAAAATGAGTTTTCCTCTCTGAAGCTCCAGAGTGAGGAAATCTCCTCTCTGTCCTTCTCCGTGAACCAGAACCCCTTCTGCCTGATGGCTCCGAAATCTCAGGGATATCACGTCTTTCACTGTGCTGGTGGACTTCTGGTTGAACCGGTAGAGTAAGGCACTGCGACCGTCGAAGTCTGCCACGTCGGACTCTGAGGAAAACAGCAAAAGGAGATCAAAGAGAATGTGAAAACACCCCCAGAACACCCTCCGCTCCCTGAACTTTTTCTGACCTTCCAAGATCTGTTTGCTCTTGTACTTCCTGTTGATTTGAAAATTAAGCTGAGTTGAATGTTTGAATGCAGTTGAACCTCAGATACTAGGTATGGTATAAAATATGCAAAAACAATATTTATAATTATTTATAATAAATGATTTATCTGCGCACATTAATATTATTTTTAAAATTAAGGGTAGGACAACCTGTCATTCACATGAAATCACAGCAATAGCAAACTATAAACATCCAACGGCCCAATCAAAAATCAAATCCCGTCCAAAAGCTGTTTCATTTGGATATGTCACTACAGGGAAGAAAAGCAATTTCCGTTTCATACTGACTTTAATAGGAGAAGGGCTAAATAAACATACAAAACAATGGCTTAATGAAATCTAAACACACAGAAAGACTTGTGTGATGGTCAGTTTTATGGGTATGGGATAGAATTGATCATTAGTTCAGTTAAAAAATGGAATGGGAAATCTCTACCAAGATCAGTTCATGTAAGGTATCACTCACTGTATGTGCAGCCATAGACCTCTAGCCGTAAACCCATTCCTCCTCTGGGGCTTCCCTCAAGAGGCAGAAGACGCATATATCGAGTTCTAATTGAGTGAGGGAGTTTGTGTTGGACCACTGTGTCCGTGTCACTGTTTCCTGTAAACGTCTGTAAATAAACACATAGAAACACACATATACAGTGATAATGGTCAGAAATTCCTTAAAGGGATAGTTCATCCAATCTAAATTAGCCCATGATTTATTCAGCCTCAAGTCATCCTAGGTGTATATGCCTTTCTTCTTTAGAAATACAATACAATTGGAGTTATATTAAAAAATGTCCTGGCTGTTCCAAACTTTATAATGGGTCGACACACAGTTCCGGGGGGTTAATAAAGGTCTTCTGAAGCGAAGCAATGTCCATATCCATATTTAACACGTTACAAATGAAAATTCTAGCTTCTAGCCAAATGGCCACAGGCAGTCTACTTATGCCTAAAAAGATATTTTATGATGATAGATGCACTTTTATGGACTTCAAAACAGAAATGGACATTCACTGACATTATAAAGCTTGGAAGAGCCTGGTCTAATTTTTGGTGAACTCCCTTTAATAGACATAATGCTAATACTGAAATCAAATATTTTAAGTACTCTCCCATTCAAAAGTTTTGGGTTGGTTCGATTTCTTTATGTTTTACAGTTACCGCTTTAATCAAATAAATGCAACCTTAGTGAGCATGTTGATCTACAATAATATTGCGACAGTAAAATAACTTATCTATTTTAATATTTAAAGTGTTATTTATTATGATGGCAGAGCTGAATTACCCCAGTCTTACTGAACCCAAAATTCTGAATGATTGTGTACCTCTTTATATGTTTATGTAAGCTGATGCTAATATTAGACTTGGTTTGGTCTCATACACAGATAAACAAAACAAAGCTGAATGCTGGTCAAACAGCACAGTCAAATAAATGTGTATTTTCAACATGGTTTAGTGACTGTTTATTAAATGCTCTTCAACAAAACAGCTTCCATGCTTAAAAAGTCTCTGCAGAAACCATTTAGATGCTTTGTACGATGCAAACATTATATTAGCACAAATGATCCTTTTTGAGCTTGGTTCTTTGCTCCCCAGTGATGATTAAATGAGACTAAATGATTAAATGATTTTCTGATGAGCTCTGACCTTCTCGGTCTTTCAGCTGTGCTGATTCATCTCTGCTGGGCTGTTTTGTTTTGCCAATTTTATTAAAGGATCCTTGAAAATAAATCACTCCCGAGCTTGTATGGGGGAAGTTGCCAAATGATTTTTGGAATATAGTGGCCAGTCTGTTTTTCTTTCACCGAGCTAACGCATGCCGACAGCATACAAACCAGAATAAACTAATTTCCTTCATCTTGTCTACATCATTAAAGTTAATGAAAGATCAAGGGTGCAATGAAACAAGAAAAGAAAACTTACAGATGGAGAAAGATACCTTTTTTATCTGTAGGAGAGAGTGACTAGAATGTGTATTCATTGCCAAGTGAATTTTAAGCCCTAGCACACAGACTGTGAGCATGAATAAACCTCTGACTAAAGATTGACAAGCTTCCAGCATGACTGTGGCGTGGTGCAAATTAGTGGGATATCATTAAACATTTCAAATCAACGGGCATATTTAATGATCTACTTTTAATTATTAAAATATATAAATAAAAATAATGTCATAATTTTGTCAGAAAAGGTGAAAGCAGTCAGTGTAGCTGACATGAATATTCATACATAGCTATTTTTTTTCACATTTCTTTTTTAATGCTTTAATGATTTTAATCTCTTTGTGGACTGAGGCTGTTGAACTTGATATTAATCATTGATTTAGTGAGCAACCAATTGAAGAAAAAAAAAACGTCAAACGCAAAGGAAATGGGAAGGGAATGGAAAATAAGCTTGAATGATGAAATGATTTATTTAATGTAACAGTGCAACCATTCTCAGAAATATTATTATTATTCTCCTGGAGATCAACAAATGAGAGAATTATTAAAATTCTGGTTAGATTCTTTATACCTTATGCCATGTTTGGTTATTTTTGTTTTTGAGAGGAAAAGTGTTAAATTGTCACCTTTTTAAAATATCAACAATCTTTGGAAAAACCATTCCTGTACTCCCTGACACAGTTTAATATAAATTTTCACACTGGCAGATGAGATTGTGTCTGAATGACCTACACACGATGGTTTAATGTAGACAGTCTCGTACAGTATATACATTGATTTAATGGGGATGGCCAATTTTGACATACCTTCAGATAATTTCGTAATGACTTCCATAGTATCATATCATTTGTGCTCACAAATTTACAAGGGAGACAAAGCATGAAAAAACACTGCAAAGCAAAAGTTCTATACATAATTCAGCAATGCTCCATGTATGATTTATTCAGAGAAAAGGGGAATAATTCAATGCTTTTTGAACTTCCCCCAACATCTCAGTGGACAACGACAGGGAAATTTAATTTACAAGTACTGAACAATAGGCTTAGCTTGTGTGTTCATTCAGCATACGTAGGTAAAGAGAAAGAAAGAGAGAGATAGAGACAGGTACAATAGCTTCTCAAAGACATTCATTAGTGAGATACACAAAGCAGAGAGCACTACGCAACACACTGTAAATATCACTCACTGAAACTTAAAATAAATTCTTAAGCCTTGAATTAAGCTATTAAAAAGATGATGGTACTTTGTTCAAACAAAGTGTCTGCAACCATGAAGGTTTTTATATTAAAATGAAATAAAATGCTATATTCCTTAGGCCTTGTTTAATAAAAAGTATAAAAACAAATCTCACATGAACATTCTAAATTTGTATTACGCAAGCTGCTCCACAGATTGTTTCAAGTTTCCTGGATATCAACATCTCCTAAAGTGTTCACCTGGAAATGTCTATCAATCAATTAATCTTAAGCAACAACTTCCTTGTTTCTTCATTTGGCCAATGTGATGGTATTCGAATGCTCTGAACTAAAGTGAGGCGAAGCTAATCAATATAGTATAACACTGTGTACTCTTTCATCCCAATGTAGACTCAATACACAGGCAAGGGCAAGATCGATTTTTAAATTACAATCATTATAATTTTGCATTTTAAAGGTCCTGCTGACATTTTGCGTCACTTATAAAGGTCAATTTGGAGGTCAATTAACTCTGATCTATCGAACCTTGTTTGAAAGAGGAGAGATGAACATTGAGAAGGCGAGTTCCGTCGGATGACGACGAATGGGGTTTTGCTTAGAAAGCCTATCGGCCAATGGCAAAGATGGGTCTGCGGAATTTCTATAGCATATTCTGGTTGTGGTCGACTCATTTCTGATTTTCATTTCATTTTTTCATTTTCATTTCATTCGACTCATTTCATTTTTGATGGGCACATTCTCTGCGTGCTTGGGCTTGATCACGCTAGAGCAGCATTTGTGGATGACTCACGTTCTCCCCGCTTCATTTGTGGTGAAATCCTGTATCGCTACAGGACAGGCAGCCGCCTCACCGCATGCCACGGCCATTCTGCTGGTCAGGGCCGGACTGACGCCAAAGCCCTCTCCAGCCCCACTCCGCTATATGCCGCGTTTGGTAACCCCATTCGTCGTCATCCGACGGAACTTGAAGCAACAACGAAAGGGAACGTCTCGGTTACGGATGTAACCCTCGTTCCCCGAGTAGCTGTACCACGGGGATCGCCTGAGTTCAGTCTCTCCTCCTCAGCAAAGAAACATACTGTATCTGCATGTTTCCGGCATCCTCCTTTATACCCACGAGGTAAGGCGGAGATATACTATGCAAATTCTGCAGACCCATGGTATTTCTATGCCATTGGCTCATTTTGTATACTCGAAGTCGATAGGCTTTCTAAACGAAACCCCATTCGTCGTCATCCGACCGAACATCTCGTTCCCTACTCGAGATATTTTCAAGCTAAAAATGATCTGAACTCTTGATTTACATTGTTGTCATTTGTGATCTTGGTTGATTCAGACTTCTTTCCCATGAACACTCAATATATATATATATATATATATATATATATATATATATATGTATAGTCCTTTCTTTATTACATAAACATGTTGCAGTCAAAGCTTTTTTAGTAAACAAATTCTTCACAACAGTGAGATGATCTGATTAAGCCGTTAGCGGTTTTAGCTCAACATAATCAATATTTTCAGTGGTCACCTCCAGCTCTGTGGGAACACAAAGACATGTGTGACCACACATGTGGAGTAGCCAAACAACTTTAGAGCCAGACAGAGACAGAGCAGCATGCAAGAAAGGTTGCAGGAAAATATCTATAAACACGTTTCTGAACTGATTGACCTTTTTAGAGTGGTTTAATAGAATCTGTCACAATGTGAGAAATCCTCCTAGCCACATTAGCCACTGTTAATGGCTAACGCTAAAGCTCCTTCCAGTCATTGCCATTGATTTTAAATGGACACCAAAATCTTATTATGTGGGGCAGTTTGCAGAGCAAAGGCATCAAAGCGCTTAATGAAAAAAAGAAACATTATGAAAAGTCTTAGAGATCAGTGCTAAAGCACAAAACACAACACAGCTGCTCTGACCTTTTCATGATTCTGATGGTTAAAATTGCAATCATACTTCAAATGCTGCAGTTAATTGTGAAAATATATATATATTTTTACCAGTTCACAATTTGAAAATATCAATAATGGCAATCATTAATATTTTAATAGTTTAAAACCACCACCACCATGGATTCTACTTACAATTTGTATTTAGAGAATTCAGACAATTCATTAAAATCTTCTGCACTGCGCCTAAAAAATAAGTGCCTTATTCCATTACTCAAATGTTACTCAGAAGCTCATCATGGATATTATGTATTGTTTTTTTATGTTAAAATTGACAGCTGATCTTTCTTGTACAAGATAAGGGACTTACATTTTTTTCCCACACCATTTTCAATAGTGTTATTCTAGTCGGAGCTGAACAAGTCTTGGTTAATCTTCTTTACCAATCCAAGCACAGAAGAACAGATAAGAGAGAGTTCTGAAATGAAATATATTGATTTTGTGTGAATGCGTACATGTGTGGGTTTGTGCACATCTAGGGCTGTAAAGTTTGTGGATCACGTGAACACAAACCAGCAGTGGAGAGAGGCAGATGAAATCGATTTCAGAGACATCGCAATAAGGCCAAACTATACAAGTGACAACTAGAGTCAATAGCTATGTTTCCATCCACACGTTTGTATCTGAATTAAGTGATATCGAATGAAAAATGGCTTATGGAAACAGTAAAATTCGATTGATTCGATTAAGTTTTAGGTAATTTTATGGTTGCAACAAGCAACAAAACAGAACTTCTACCGAAGTTTCTTCTACCAAGCTACCGAACTTCACAATTCGATCGACAAGTGTATGGAAACTTGGCTAATAACTCTGCAGCGTTCTGTCCAATCGTGAGAACTAGATCTGCCACCACCAGGTCTTAGGGCACGGACCACACACAACTCCAAAACAGTGTTAAATTATAGAGATCAGAGTAAATGCATTTTTCTTGCATTTAACATTTTCAAAATAGGTTTTGAATTGTATATACAATGACAACAAGGTGACCTCTAAAGTTTCAAATGGAGTATTTCTTCTAATAATGAGCTAGAAAATCGTTTTCATTTGCCTATTTCTAAATAATGCACAACCCTAAGGAGCAGGAGCCACATCAACTTGTCATAAATCAACACACAATCATTCAGCAGGAAATAAAGTGCTCCTTTTATGCCTCCCTGCTTTAAATTTCTCCATCATGTTTTATGATTAGCATGCAATTTTGTCCAAATAACTATAATACAATCCATTAAGACATAGTTGAAACAATTTCTGGGGGAATTATTTTCTGGTAATGAAATCAGTAAAGGTACAAGATACAGCCCACATTATACATGATGATTAAAAAAAGAAAAGAAAAAAGCACGAATTCCTGGTTATTTTGTCTGTCTGTTTGTGAGTGAACCAGAACTTGGGTGTGTAAACAGGTGACTTGTGCACAATAGACCGGCTCTATAGACCTCTCGGTTATTAACTAAAAGCAACTCATAAGAATGGGACTCAATTTGAATAAATTAATTAAAAAAATAAATAAAAAAAAACCCCCAGCAAAACTAATCTTTTTTGTGGCGATATACAAAGTATTAAAATTTTAAATAATTTCACAGGATGCAGTTGTTCATTAACTTTCCAGTTTTTGTTTCAAATCAACACACCCCTTACGTCGTCACAACTTGTGTATCATTCATATGGAATTCACAGTTTCCCGCTTGTCAATAATAGGGTTGTGTTGATAGACAATAATATAATAGATAGCTGATGTCTTTGACGATAATCAATTGTTGGCTTGTTTTCTTAATATTATTATTAAAGTGTTAAAGTTTGCAATGAAATAGTTTCAAGACAAGTTAGCTACGTGTCTCAACAACCTATACGCCCCTGCATTATTTGTTATTAAAATGCACACATTCACAAACCACTGCTAATTTTAACAGAAAAGCAAGCTGTATGCATGGTTTGGCATGGCACCCAAAACAAATAATAACAATTGCCTTACCTAATGCAGCAAAATCCTGTGTTTGGACCAGGCTCAGTTCCAGAATCAAATCACAGAGGGTGCTTCTGAAATGAACGAGGGTGTTTTTGTCTCGTCCTTTGCTATATGGTTATCACTATCAGTCATTGCAATTTTGAGAGTGAATCCTGCATTTATATGTGGACGGGCTATGTATTAGGCGCTTGTCATGCATGAAAAACACAAGTTTTATTCAAATTCTGAATATATTATATTATTTATTATATTGCTTAGACAGCGTGCAAAGCAAGCACAGGGATGTCGATGGGAGGGACATCCCCCCACCCCATACAAATCTGAACTGCCAAGTGACGCATATAGTCACATATTATATATATTGTGCAAGTGTGTGTATAAAAGTGTGCTTGTTATAAAAGAGACATCATTTTTTGAACAGTTGTTTGAAACAGCTTTGTCTTGAAACACAGCATTTGACCCTCCAGGACTGAAATTGCACATCACTGATCTAATCATATCATACATTTGTGTGCACTGTTTTTGTACACATTTAAAATAAAAAAGACGAAAAAGGAACGAATATAAGCCCACATTTGAAAGATGAAGTTCTGCACTTTTATCTGAAACAGTTCATATCAACCTGCAAACATATGTAGTGCCACCTTGCCAGGAAAAACAATAAAATTAGGTCTGCATGCACCGGGACAATGAGGCGGTAAATTGTGTTAAAAAATATTGGACTGGAACATATCAGGTATTGCCTCTGCATCGGACTGAATTATTTTGCTTGCATGCCCAAACATACAGTACGCCAGGCAGAGCGGTGTTTACGTCTGGCTGCTGCTGTGCACAGGATATGGCCATCAAACAGTCACATTCTCTCCTGCCTGAACATGATCATCAGAACAGGGAGAAGCATTAACAATGCTTCTCCCTGTAGAATGTAACATACAGATGTACATTAACAATCCAAAATCATTAACGCACAAATGCACAGTCAGAATGGCTTCACATAAATACCATGTAAGGCAGAATCACACCATTTGGATTTATATTGACTTACTGACTCACATGTTTACCATGATTAACATGCTAGTAGCTGGTGGGCAGTAACGATGAGAAGAACCTTATCTAATTGCCAGCGTGTTTCGGTTTAGTCAAAGTGGATGACTGTATTTTGGCGTTAAACAGATGGCATCGGATTCTGTCTGTCTGGCTCACTGGCATCTGCTTCAGCTGGCATGGCAGCTCACCTTGGCACAGACTAGCACCTCTGTGAGATGGTTTCCTCCTTTGAATGGGTAAACAAACAACATTCAAGGTCCTATTGCCAGTGTGTACCCAACAAGCACAGTTTCTCCTTTCGCATGCATTTTCTTTTGGCCACACCATAGCTTACACCATCTTGGCTGGTGACAGACTTGATATTTCAAGGTGAAAATAAACCTGCTGCTTAGGCTGGAGGCTGAACAAATGGATTTCTTTTGTATTTCTGTGCTGAAACTTGGTCAACAAACTGTTATTCATAATAGAAGTCACAGGTATGACATGCATCACATGTGCACATCTCTCAACAGGGCTTTATTGTTGCAAACAAATGTGTTCTAGCTCAATTTACTATTATGTCTTCCCAGTGGACAAATATCCATCTTATTAATTAATAATCTAAAATAATTAATCAAATTAGCAAGATGTCCTTCAGAATAATTAATGTTCAATTCAATGTGTCACCAGCATTTTCACAGTGGTCTCTGGATACTTAGAATGTACTAATATGTAATATTCCCTGCCATCAGTTCTTGCCCACTAGCAAGAAAAGCAAGAACACAAGATTGATTGACATTTCTGGGAAATTTAACTTTTAGTCTGAAGGAAAGTCTCAAAATAAGAGGATGGAACTCAATGCAAGATGGAGATCAGATCCATTTAAATTTCGTCTCTGTGGAAAATCACTTCACCAAAACAAGCCACTAGAGAACTGCAGGATTAATTAACATAGTCTAATGAATCATTTGTATGTGCCGCATGCACTGACAGGTCTTAAGTGACCCAGAGTGTGTTTTATTGATCTCAGACAGGGAGAATAATTTATCAACATATTCCAAACAAAATTCCATCACTGAACGCAGTTCATCATAATGCCTAGTGCTTCATTGCATCTTGAATCACTGCCACACACACACACACACCATTCAGATCCCTGTAATTTGAATCAAAATATAGGCTGGAATATTTGACAATCAAATGGAGTAAAAGACTCAAACTAAAAGTAAAGTTTGCAGGTGACCCTTGAATTGTTAAGTGGCAATGATCAACAACTCAACACATGAATTGTTTAGGAGCAATGAAAACTGAAAATAAAAAGTAAAAGCTTAGGTAACACTATTTTAATGGTCCACTTTAGACATTCTACTTACTATAAGTAACTTTACAACTAAACATCAATGAACTCTCATTAGATTATTAGTAGACTGATCTGCCTAATATTTGCTAACACTCCCCATCAAAACATCCATACATTCTACTGACTATAAGTAACTTTGCAACATTTTCTACTAATTTGAAACCTAACCCCTAACCTAACAGTATACTACAGTCAAATGTTACTCTAATGAGAGTTAGTTATAGATCGTAAAGTGGACGATCAAAATAAAGATATTTCAAAATAATAAATATGACAGTATATAATGCTAAAATAACACTGTATAGAACACACTTTCTATAGCTATGGATAAAAAGCATAAGCTAAATATTGTCTTATCTGAAAACAGTTTATGACACTCATAAGGCTTGTTTGTCAAGCTCTTCTAGGGTTGTCAAGGTACAAAAATTCGGTAGCACTTCATTTTACAGCCCTGTTCCGCCTGTACATAATATTTACTTATTATAGCAATTACAATAACTGGGTTATAACTACTGTAGGTACTAACCCTGAATCTACCCCTATACCTAACCCATGTAGGTTATCAGTACTTTCTTGGGTAACTACACTGTAAGTACATATACTGCAAAATAAAGTGTAGCCAGAATTTCAGTAGTCTGTATCAATGTACTGCAGAAATGTTGATACTGTCAATTTATTTTTAGTACCAACTGGTACTGGTACATTTGACAACCAGTTTGACAGTCTCTTCTATTTAGCTATGGTTGCTAAGGTTTCATTTCTCACTTGTGCTAAAGGTTTCTTATCATTGGTGTCCCATTATTCAAACAATGCATTATAATCTCTAGGCAATCTTCCAGAGATTAGCTAGACTCACCCATATCACATCCTCTTGTCTATATGGTCTCCAGGTTCGTCCAGAGTCACTATACTGTAGCTGGTAGCGGGAAACCCAGTCAGAGCTGCCCCAGCGACCCTGGGTAGCAATAGATGTAACTTTCAACCTGTCCCGTAGGTCCAGCTGTAGCCAAGGTTGTTGATCTTCTCCATTCGGAGACCAACCCCCATCACCTACAGGGACAGATCAAGAGCCAGTGATTTGAAGAAGAAAAAAGTGCAGAGGAACGAGTTTAAGCATAATTTTCCCCACAATTCAAGCACTCACTAAGATTTCATTCCCCTGTTCATCATGCTGACAGGACTAAAGCTTAGTGGTCAGAGAAAAAAATGAATTAAATTTGTTCCAGTAGTTTTGTGGCTCAGTCTCTCTCTTCTTGTAGAAATCGACAATCCCTAGAGGAGAGTTGACAGACCTCAGTGCAGTATAATATTACTGCGGTTAAAAAAGGCAATTTGGAAATTTCACAGCATATTCCTACACTTGCATGTCTTACTGTAGTTTTTTTCTAGTTGAATTCTGCATCTCTTGTTCAGAATTCTTGGAAATATTTGACCACCCATGCAGACCTACTCAGTACACATCTTCTTTTCTTTCTATTTTGCCAGGATTCAGCAAACGGTACCTGGAGGGAGAATGCTGGCAGAGAGGACAATCTATAAATCAAGCAAGCGGTATATTAAAGGAGTTGTGTTTGATTTCTGCAAGTAACATGATAGCAAAGAACTTACACAGACCTTGGAACAACAATAAAGAACACTGCCCATGTTATCAAATGCAAGACTTTGAAGAAAAAGTGCAGCCTCTAAAGATCTGAATCAAGAGAATTTCAAATCTGGTGAAATTGTTTTTATATGGCAGAAAAATAAAATACCATAATGTCATTTTTTATTAATATCGTGCGGCCCTAATCCTAATCCTAAAATATCGACATTGGTAATATCGGTATCGGCCATCACAGCAATATTAATATCGGTTATCATTATCGGCCACAAATTTTCACATCGGTGCATCACTACACTGGACAGAATATGTAGAATATGAAAGACTTCGGGAGTCAGCTGTCCATGACAAGCATAAACATTTGTGCAGTCAACAGCACAAAAACCTGAGCAAAATATTGTTAATTATCATTATCGTTAATCATTTGTGTCAATATCGCACACCTCTAGCTTGAGTTGCTTTTAAAGAGAACATAAAGCTGGTGTGGAAAAAGGAAAGCCTCAAGGTCAGGTGTGACAGGATTGCCTGAGGACAAGTCAAAATAAGATGGTAAATGGACTGCATTTATATAGCGCTTTCACAAACCCAGTGGCCACCAAAGCGCTTTTACAAATTACCTCAAATTCACCCATTCACTCACTCATTCACACACCGATGGTCAGATAACAAATGCCACATCAGAGCTGTTCAGTGAATAGGTACATATCACCTGTAAAGATTTTCACACAAGGTCAGGGTGAACACTCTGAGCTTGTTGGATGTTACGTAGCAGGCTCAATGAGATGGCAGATAAAAATCTTTTAGTATGTGCATCCAGAAAATGTATCAGTTTAGAATGGGCCGTTTGTTTAATTTATTAAATAATTTCCAACCTAACATAAATAACAGGCAAAGTTATTGTATTCTAATAACAATAGAGAGATCAGAGACAGAAAATAAATAGATGGATAGATCTAAAGACAACATTTGGTGTCTGCACACGTTTGGATCAGGCTGGCAGTGACTGGGAACGGGCTGCCTGTCTGTGTCTCACAGTGAAAGAAAACCTCCTGCTGTTACTAAGAAAGAGGCATGATGAGTAAAAAGAAATGCCTTGGGGTGACACGGGCAAGCCGCCATGTCGTAGTCCCACTTGTTACTGCTGGAAGACACTGTTAATCCAAAACGTTACGAATCTACAACAAAGTTTAGTATTGTGATCATTTTACGAGTGCCACCAAGCATCATAAGGAAGTTCTTAGAGTGTTTGGCCCATGAGGTCAAACAACTTACAATGCACAAAACAACGCTCTCAAAGGGCCTCAACATAAGCGGGTATTTCTGACATGTTTATGCTTAACCACCTAATTGGCTGGGGAGATTTCTCAAGTGCTTCTTCAGACTGTAATCAGCTGCTGATTGTTAGGTTGCATTAATCAAACTGCTCCTCACCTCCCTCTAGTAAAAACCACAACACATTTGCTTAGTCATAATTTATACAGTCCTCTTATTATACCTTGTGCTTTGCCAAAGCTCAGTCTGGCCAAACACTTTGTCTGTGAGTGTTTTAGGATAATAAAGCAAATCATGAGCAGCCATTACATTTCTAAAACATTTTCGAATCTTGCTTCAGGTACAGCTAATCAGAACTTTTCACATCAGTACTGCTCACGGATGACTTTTGATTCCCTCCAATGAAAGTATAAAGTCTTTTAATACTTTTTTGCAATGTTTGTGGAAGCTAAATCGCATTACGTAAGGTATTCATACAAAGAAAAAGCTTTACATCAACACTTTGTCTGACAAGGACAAATTTCCCTTCTGCTTAATTCTCTAGTCACATAAACACAGACAACTGGATGTTATTTGAGAACATGAAGACAAGAGCACATACCCTCTCTTCTGTTGAGTTTAGAATAGTGTGGTGACCTCCTGTCAGAAAATTTTGATGAGTTCTGGAAGGAAGTTGGGGGTAGTGATGTCATCAATGGCTCTTCACAGTAATCTGTATAAAATAGAATGAAAAGTTGTGTTAACAACACCAAACAAAACAATCTTTTTAAAACTTAATTTGATTTTAAATTAAGTTTAATTTATTTAATTGTGGTTTGAATCTGAAAAAAAAAACTCTTTTGATTGTAGAGGCATAGTTTAATTGTGCAAGGTGTGATGTAAAAACATCTTACATCTACATCTGTTCTCTGTAGAGGCAGCCAGTTTGTGAGAGTTAACTAAAAGTCTTGCAAGCTGTTACATGTAGTCTGCCTTTCATCCGACTCAATGGTCAGTACTTGTTTGTTATTGAACCCGGCCTTTTTTTTTTTAGGATTCACTTGTTTCAACATGTTTCATGTTTGAAAGTGTCTGGGTTGTCAGGAATGTTATACTCATCCGAGATTGTGTATTATAATAGGAGTAAAAAAAAAAAGAAAAAAAAGGAAGATTTAGAGATTTTTTTTATTTATTTATTATCATTGGGTACAGTATGGGATAGCACAAGTTGAATCAGAGTGTTCATTCAAATCTTGTGAGCTCATTACAGCAGTGGTAATTTTAGTCTTTCGAATTTTTGCTCAATGTGGTTGGCAAGAATACCTATTTTATAAAGGTCAGGCCACTTTTAAGTTTGGATGAAAGAGCTTTAATAGTATATATCACCGTACAAACATTATACAGATAATCATTCAACCAACCATCAAGCACACTAACTGCTTCTGTAAGGACAAAGACTGAATCCCATGAAGATTATTGTACTTTAAAGGTAAATAGCATGCCGTAATTTGCTTTTCTCGCATCCTTCAATGGCCTTCTCAACAGAAACACACGGATAAAAAGAACTCTAATGAACCACAGCTCGACAGCCCAAACACATTAGTCTCAAGCTTCCAGAATATGCATGTATAGTCAGAATAACAAAACAATGAACAGCAGGTTAGGGAACCATTAGCTGTGTCCAGGGAGCATTTTAAAGCTCTCTCCTGTTTCAGCAGCGTAAGCACTTTTCAGCACTCTCCATGGACCATGGTAAAAATATATCCTTATTTAGAGCGCCTTTGCATTTGTGGCAACATTTTGCCTGGCAATCACTCATTTGACATTGAATTGCCTACTCCCAATTTTGACGCTCCCAATAGCCATCTTTCCATCCCTTTTGTTCTCTATTCCTCAATCTCGCCCATCTTTCTGTTCACCCACTCTTCATTTTCTGTTTTTCCTCCTCCTTTCTCTCCATCTCACACGTACACACTCCCACTTTCTCTTCAACTTAATGAGAAAAGAGAGAAGTCTCGCCATTGTGAGGGGGCTCACATGTGTTATTGCCACCATAAGGGAGCCATAATCTGAGTCAGCAGTGCTCTCCGCTGCATCAGAGAGAACAGCTGCGGCATCGTCCTTTCACTCTCAGCTGAACAAATGACACACAGCACCCCCTTCAGATTTACTCCTACAATAATAAGTAGCATTTCAAGAAAGTTCACTGAAGAAAGTGATGAAGTGTCCTACTAGATGTTCTGCAAAGTTCATCTGAGGTTGATTTGTTTGCACTGAAATACAACCTCAGAGGCTGAAAATGATATACCTGACGTTTAGGTTACACCCTCAAGGGTATGACATCATTTGATCAGGACAACAAATTATTTGACCTTATAAATTTCACTGAAGCACATAGTTTAGAACCTTCACATGTCCTGAAAGTTATCAGGCCCTTTTTTTGCGTGGGAAATTAATAAGCAGGCAGTGTCAGGATTTTAAAGGATGTCAGAATGTTGACTCCAGCAATATTTCTAACAGGATTTTTTCATTAAACAACTAATTTCCCAATGGAGTGTCTAGACCTGAAGATGTTACGGATGTTAAGGGCACATCAAATTGGACTAATGTTTAATTACCGTAAGCACAGACTAGGGATGGGCTTACGCAAGCTAATAATCCCACTCAAGATTTTGAAACATTACATGTGGAGTCAACAAACGAACAAGAGCTAAGAATAGGGCGATACTCTGCGAAAACTGATCCTGCAGGCTTTATTCAGATGCCCGTTGACCCATTTTGAGAGAAACTGACAATCACTATAAAAGCTGAGCAAGTGAATATTCTTTGAAATTCTATACATATTTTACAAACCCTGTTGTATATATTTATATCTGCATTAGCCTCATTCAAGCAACCCCTTTAAAACTAAATAACTAGCTTTATATTTCAAAACATGGCTGATGCCTTCAAAAATATATTGAGTACTGTTTTATTACAGTTCTTTATATGAATAATGCAGACGATTGCTGTCAATTCTGTTTTCCTAAGAAAGATATCAAACACAGTTATGAAAATGTAGACAGTTGAACCTAGCAGAAAAAAAACAATAGGTATTTTAATCAACACAAACCAATTCATAGACATTGTATTGACAGATAACTTCAGAGCAAACGTGGGCAGGATCTGCCACTGTAAGCCGTTTCGAGAATCACTGAAATTCAGCCTATGTTAGCTATTATTGATCTTATTGTAAATTATTTCTTTTTTCAATGTGTATGTTTCATTAAAAAAAAAACTACCTTGTAATTCTTAATCAAAACATGGACTACCTTCCAGTAAAATTACAGACTTCTCTCTGGTGACATATCCAATCATTTAATCTGTTTAAACCTTGCCCCTTCCTTTCAATCGACTGCAAACTAGCAATTCGAGCTGCCTCTATCAAAATCAAAAACCACATCATAGAACCAAGTCCCAGTCCTACCTTTTTCTTCACTCTGATGCATGTCACAATACAGAAGAAAAGATTGGCTTCATTGTAACTTTATGAACTGAATTTTCTAAAAGTTTAGCTCAGGGCTGCATAAACCTGTTCTTAGAGATCTGATTACGTAGAGTTCCAACACTGCTTCAAAACACCTGTCTGTAATTACAGACTGATCTCATGAAATGGCGTATGTATGACACGCCAATTCGTATTTCCATTTTTGCCGTATTTCCATTTCCATCGCTTTTCAGCGTGTTTATAAACGCCGTTGACTTAACGTTACATTACTGTATACATAAATATATGATCTACCCCAACCCCGTCCCTAAACCTACCCGTCACTGGGGTTAATACCATTTATGAGTCTTCCCCTACCATCCTAGGAAAAAAAAATATCGCTCCCCAGATGTAGATCTACATTTTGCTTCGTTTCGCTCGGAGATTTAACGGCGTGTACATACACTCGGAATCGCTCGGACATTTAACGGCGTAGACATACACGCATACACTCGGATAGCTCAAAATGCGTATAGATAACACGCCTCTTGACTTGAAATTGGGGTGTATGTTTATGCAAAATTCATGATGTGTGTTCCTTGAGATCTTATTTAGCTGGTACAAGCAGAATTTTGCAGTATCTCCATGATTGGGCAACCCTGGTTAAGCCAAAAAATGAGAACCCATGCCACAAAATAAATATTCTAAACAGTCATTACAGACAATTGAACTAATTAGCATTCAATGGATTTATTTTTTGTGATATCAATTCATGCTTAGTATTCATACTGAAAAGAACAATGAAATGTTCTTCAGAAACAATGTTGTAAACCCACCATTGTTGGTGGCTTCATAAGTATCCTCAGCTGGAACACTTTCACCTCATCAACCAATCAAAATGTGTGCTTTTATCTTTCATAAAACTGGTTTATGGCCCTGCATGGTTAAAACAACAAAAGCACCTCTCTTCAAGCCCCACATCTACAAGAGCATGTCAATGACCTTTCAACATAAAAAAAAAAAACACATCTACAATTTTACGTTCTCCCCCTTTTAGCCCTATGCGCATGCACACATGTTCACCCGACAACATAACAATGACAGAGACCACAGTAGAGTAGTGTTTGTCTAGCAACTGGCATATAATTATATTTTCCCATCACAAAATAACCCCAGGAGCAGCAGCATTTTGAAGTGGCTGAATGATAGACATTATGTGGAATTTTAGGACTAAGAAAGGTGGGCCAGTGATGTCAGTGATGTCTCAGGCAGGTCTGTGTCTCTGATGCACACTTCATTCTGTCCTGCTCGAGAGTGGATCCACATGGTCATTGTTCAAAAGGTCAGATATTATTACTGTGCATCCTCAATGTGCCCTGGGCAGGAGTGCGTTAATCATGTCGTCCAGGGGACACAGGGAAGAGAGAAAGGGGTCAGGAATGGCAAAGAGAAATGAGAGAGAATATCAAGCAGGGATCGGGGAACTTAGGCAAGTTTGCCGCTATTGGAACACGGAGGTGTAATCGTTGGAAAGCAAGCAATAACAGAGAGAGAGGAATATTATGCATATAATTTTATTTTGTTGTTTATTTTAGAAATGCTGAAGTCAATCATATCTGCACAAATCTTTCAGCAATCTTTCTTTGTAATCACACAGACAGTTTTATTGAGTTATAAACTTTATGGGAAGCCAAACACTCCAAAAGTGGGATGAATACACAGCAGAATCGCACAGTGCGAATCACTGGAGAGTGGATCTGTTTACTCGCACGGCCCACTGAACAGCGCAAAGATCTGTTCCATTAACTTGCGCAAACCAGAAACTGATCTGCAATCAACAAAAAGTGTAAAGCTCTAGGAAATGGATCTACTGTCAGTCCTACACACAGCCACAGCAGTGCTGCAGCAATTACACACTTTGGTCTTCTATTTTGCTGATTTTCGCACACAAAGCAATATTTTGTAAAACAAAAGGATATAACTTCAATGTTCCCAGCAAACACAGAACATTCGCCTAACATTCCCGTATGGTCCCATGAGGTTATTTTTTTGGGAATCAAACAAGAACGTTATAGGAACGTTCCATGTAGGTTATTTTTAGGTTCCATTTTTATAACGTAAGCAGAATGTTCTGTGAACGTTCCCTTAACCTTAAGGGAACGTTCTAGGAACGTTCTGGGAACCAAAAACTAATGTTCCCAGAACCTAAATTTGTTTTCTGTGTTGAATACTACAGTGGCCCTGCTTTTCACGCAAAATATTTCATA